CCACCCCTCCACTCAGAAGTCGTATCGCGGATCATATCCGTTCTGAGCCACCACCCGCTTGTGCTGGCGGAGGAGCTCCTTTACAGAAGAATGCTCCGAAAACTTCCATCGCAAATAAGCGACTCGGTCGGAGTCGCCCATGTCCATCGCCGCGAGCAAGGCGACGACCCGAGGCAGCCAGCCCGACTGCAACTTCGGGACCTGGCTGCCAGCCTCCATCGGCCCAGCTCGCACCGTCCCACCACTCGAAACTCGCACCGGCCCAGGGCAGCTTGGCATCGAGGAGCTCGTTGGCGGCGACGTAGCCGCAGCTGCAGCTGAAGGCGGCGAGGAATTCACACGAGACCCTCCTGCAGAAGACAGAGGCCCCAAGCATAGGCTTGGGCTTAAGGGTTCAGGGGTGGGGGTTTAGGGTTTGGGGATTAGGGTTCAGGGTTTAGGGTTGAGGGTTTCGGGTTGAGGGTTTAGGGTTTGCGGTTTTTTTAAAGAATCTATGCTCGGTGCTTTTGGAGCCCCGAGGATCCCAGAGCAATGCCACTGCACTGGTTCAACCCGACAGAACTACAGAGCAACAAAACCCCAGACCACTGGTTCTGGGCTCGGGTTTTCGGCCCCAGCTCGCCTTTCCAGGCACCCCAGGAGCTGTCGTACGAAAGTCCGCCTGCCAGGATTGTGCTCGTAGGGGCTCGGGGCTTATCTTACTTTTGTCAATGGCTCCCCCAGTGGCCTGGAGTCTGGCAACCTCCTGCTCCATGTTGACCCCACTCCGGAGCCGGCATCCCTGCAGGGCTCCAGAAAAGCGGAAGTGTTTCAGGGTTAAGGGTTTCTGGGATTATGTCTTAGGCTAATCATGGTGTCTATTCGAACCTAGGATATCAAATCGCCTTGCAGAAAAGCGAAAGTGTTTCAAGGTTAAGGGTTTGTGGGTTTAGGGTTTAACCATTTCTATTGGAATCTACGGTTTCGCTGCCTTGGCCCTTCCCAGCCGGATCCCAGCCGCCACTTGGCGGAGCTCCAAAGTTGTAGCCGCCAGGTCCAGAATCGCAGCCGCTCGCGGGTGGATAGCCTGCAGCACCAGCTCCAAAACCGCAGTCACCGGCAGGTGGATGCCCAGCCGCACCAGCGCCAAAACCGCAGCCGCCCTGTGGATGCCCAGCCGCACCTGCTCCAAAACCGCAGCCGCCAGGATGTCCAGCAGCACCAGCTCCAAAACCGCAGCCGCCCTGTGGGCATTGCCCGCCAGCATCAGCTCCAAAACCGCAGCCGCCTTGTGGATGCCAGCCAGCACCAGCTCCGAAAACGCACCCCGATGGATGCCCAGCAGCACCAGGTCCAGACTCGCAGCCGCCCATGGGTGGATGCTCCGCAGCACCAGGTCCAAAACCGCAGCCGCCCGTGGTTCCAGACCATGGACCTGCAGCAAAGGATTGTAGGGAAATCTCTCGTTCTTGGGTGTTTTGGCGATATTTCGCCCAACTGCCTTGCTGCTCCCAGAAGCCGCCGCCCTTCTGAGCGGCATCCGGGTAGCCTGGGGCAAAACCTCCAGGGACGTTGTAAACAGTGGCCTTCTTAACTCTGGCACCAAAGAAACTATAAGCTCTCAAGCCCGGACAGCATTGCAGTCATGGCTTCTTTACACATGTGTGTAGATTTAATTCTATATATACATATATAAGAAATATGTATCTATATGTATGTATCTATATATAGTGTATATATATAGATACATACTTTTGTACATTTCCATCTAGGGTCCAGGGTGTCGGGTTTGGGGTTTGGGCTTTGGGCTTGATGTTTAAGTTTAGGGTTGAAGGTTTGACGTTCTGGGGAAAAGATGCCTTGTGCATGGCAGCCGCCAGCACCCGTGTAGTCATACTGCATGCTCGCATCACCTCCAGGGATGACGTGTACCGTATACAACCGCATCTATGCCAAAGGAGCTTGGCCCTGAAGAAACACTTCTAAGGATGAGGGGCTTTAGGAAATTCGAGGTGGAGTTGAAATTTCGTCAAAACCACAACAAGAGGCTTCCTGTTGAACCAGCCCAAACCTGCATCTTGGCTGCTCTGCATCCAAGCTGCACCTCCATGGGTCTAGGGTTCAGGGGTTTCCGGTTTTAGGGTTTAGGGGTTTGGGGTTGCAGGGTTCAGGGGTCTAGAAGCAGGAACCATTATGTAGTTCTACATATGACATAGAACTGTGCTTTGGGCTGGAAGCAATAGCCCCCAAGGACTCTGAAGCCCGAAAAAACGGACTGAAAAGCAAAGCCACAGAGGCTGCAAAACCAATGGAAAAACAAAGCCCCGAAGGGCTCCTGCAAGCCCGAATGGACTCCAACTTAAATGCAGACACTCTGCAAAAAAAATCAAAAAGAAATAGCCCCACAGGACTCTCAAGCAGAACCGCATGGAAAATGAAATGCACCGACTGATCATGCTCTGTAATTACTTGTCGCAACCATATTATATATCCCACATTACAAAGTTTTGCAACCACATCGGCCTACACTGGGATCTGCAGCATGGCCGCCCCAACCAGCAGCAGCCGGAGCAGGGCCTGTCGAGGCTGCCACTGCATGGTTTCTTACATTTTGTTCTTTCTGTTCGACAGAACTACCGACAAACCTTGCATGGCCCGGCTGCACCTGCTGCCGTCCATGAAGCCGGCACTTCTGTAGGCGGCACCACACGTGGAGCCGGAGGAAAGCCTGTGCAGGGTGAAAAGTAACTAAGTAGCCGAAACATAAAAGTCTCTGATGTTGGATGCCATGTTTCGCCTCCTCCAGGGTGCCCTGCTGGGATGACTCCTGCAGGGCTTGAGAGATGGCAGTGCTTGGTTTGTTTCAACACATCCTGCCTTCATGCGGCGGACCAGCTGGGCTGCCACTCTGCATAGCTTCCGGTCCTGTGCTATGTAGACCAACCAAAAAAAGCGCCACAGTCGGGCTTAAGCTATGTTCACTGCTTCTCTCTTGGTATATTACCGATGTCATGTTTGTGGCGATGGTGCCTGTCCTGCTGGCACGGCCTGCCCCGTGCTCGGCTTCGGAACACCTGCAAGGATGTTCTTCTTGCTTTAGGGTCTATTTAGGGTTCGGGGCAAGTTTTTTTTGCAATCGATGCCCAACCTGTGGCAGCCATGTGGACCTGGTCCACAAAAGCCGCAGGGCCACCAGGGATCGTTGGTGCAGCTGTCGGCTCCTCCGGCTCGTTCGGCTCGTGTGGCTCCTCGGGCTCCTGCTGCGACCTCTGCTGCTGCCTCACCAAAACGTCGTTTTGACGACGATTCCACGAGTGGTAGTAAGCCTGGGTGGCCTCAGATTGACTTGGCAACCATGCTTCCCACTCTTCTTGTGACCACTTGTGCAGATGATACATAAGCCAGTCCCACTCTTCGTCATCCATGGCGGCCATGGCATGCACTCCTATATGTTTCTGGATACTCTGTGTGTGTGTGTGTGTCTGTCTCTGTGTGTGTGTGTCTCTGTGTGTGTGTGTGTCTCTGTGTGTGTGTGTGTCTGTCTCTGTGTCTGTGTGTGTGTCCGTCGGCACTTTTGGGTGTCTGGTAAGGTATGCATCATGTGTATGTGTATGTGCAGCTGCATCGGGACTAGAACTCGGCAAAACATGCATGTGTCTATACTTGTGTATACGTTCGAAGCACGAATCATGCATGGACCTTCTGCATGTGCTTTTTCAACTTGACCTCAACAACCGAGCCAACATATAGCCGGCTCACTGAGATGAGCATGTGCATGCAAAGCAACATGAAGCTCTGTACCGAGCATGCACAACAAACACTACCGAGCGCTCCTCAGAGGACTTACACATACCGAGCCCTGCTCAGAGGACTTATAAAATGAGCCCTCCTCAGAGGACTTATAAATACCGAGCCCTCTTCAGAGGACTTAGAATAAAAAAACAAAGCACAACATGTTTTCAGAGGAATTACAAAAACAACAAGCACAATCTTTTTTTTTCCTTCCCGAGTTCGTCCTGTACAGTCAAGACCCTACTCAGGCACTTCATCTGGAATGGCAGGCAAATCAGACAGGTCTCCTGTCTTCTTCTTCTTGTATGGTCTTTTAGGAGGCGGTGCATCCGTGGTCAAAATC